GAGTTATCCTCCACATTTGCCTTTGCCTCCTTTCCACTTATTTGGGGTGCATTTATTGAGTCACCAATGACCTTCCAATTGTCCATTTTGGTTGCATCTTCTGACAGCCCCCCCCCCCTTTTATACAAAGGAGTTGCCATTCAACAAAAATTTATGGATACAATATATCTTGATTAATGTCATCCCTTTCAACATGTTTACCCATCCTTCCTGTTCCCATTCCCTCCCTCATCTTCTTAATTTGTAGGATATGCACTGAATTCTTGACTGCATTCCTCATCCCTCCCTTCTGTCTACCTTTTCCCCTATCCCTTTTGAGTACTTGCTTCCTGGTGTTTTATTTTACCTGACAGCTACTTATAAAATTTATTTCCCTTAGCTGTTAGAACCCTGTGCTACCTAGATTTTTGTCTTTTCCTCTTTTCTTTTCTCTCCAGACTGGGTCTTAATATGTAGCCCAAAGTAGATCAAACTCTAGATCTTCCTGCTCTGCCTCCAGAGTGCTTGAATTACATACCAGTACCATGCCTGATTACGTATATATTTTTAGAATTCCATTTCTTTCATGGTAATATTAATACATGCAAAATTAAACCTTATGTAACTATTTAACATAGTAGAAATGAGTCTTTAAATCCTATCATTAGAAATTGAGTGGGTGTATGGGGCTGGGAATATAGCTTAATGGTAAAGTACTTGCCTAGTATGCATGAAGCCCTGGGTTCGATTCCTCAGTATCACATAAACAGAAGAAGCCAGAAGTGGCAACTGTGGCTCAAGTGGTAGAATGCTAGCCTTGAGCAAAAGAAGCTCAGGGATAGTACCTAGGCCCTGAGTTCAAGCCCAGGACTGGCAAAAAAAAAAAAAAAGAGAGAAAGAAATTGGGTAGGAGGAATATTAAAATCTTCTCCCTTCCTCCCTTCATTCTTCCTTCCATCTATTTATTATAGAATTATTTAAAAGAAATGGGTAAGAGAGAAAGGTAATAAAACAATGCAAATTCTTGTCTTTGGTAATTTTATCCTTTAGGTCACCTATATATCTGTTAATACCTTTTCCTTTTGTGTTATGGTCCTTACATTTAGGTGGTCTCTTGTTAATTGCATATGAGTAGGTTTGGGGTTTGATGCAGTGTGGTCATCTTTATAAAAATTATCCAGGGGGCTGAGAAGTTGGCTCAGTGGTAGAGTGCTTACCTTGCATGCATGAGGCCCTGGGTTCGATTCCTCAGCACCACATAAGCAGAAAAATATGGAAGTGGCATTGTGGCTCAAGTGGTAGGGGCTAGCCTCAGCTGAAGAGCTGAGGGACAGTGCCCAAATCCAGAGTTCAGCCCCAACAACCCACAAGGAAAAAAAAAATATCCAGAAATGCGCTCATACTGTAACCCTAGCTACCCAGGAGGCTGAGATCTGAGGATCTCAGTTCAAAACCAGCCCAGGGAGGAAAGTCTGTGAAACTCTTATCTTCAATTACCACCAGAAAACCGGAAGTGGCGCTGTGGTTCAAGTGTTAGAGCCTAGCCTTGAACCGAAGAGCTAAGAGATAGCGTCCAGGCCCATAGTTCAAGCCCAATGACTGACAAAAAGAAATTATCCAGAATTATCCTCCTGAAGACTATCCTCATATTCACTGAAAAGCATCATAGTCTCTTAGTAATTCTTGTTTTTTTTTTTTTACTTTAGTACTTTTCATAATGTTCTATTCTAAAACAACTTAGATCTATTGTGGGTTTAAGTTTTTTGAAGTCAAGGACTTCATTTTTCTCTTGAAAATCTTCAGTTCTGTGGTTTTTTTGGTTGTTGTTGTTTGGTTTGGTTTCATGCTAGAACTAGGGCTTTAATTCAAGTCCTCTTGGTCTTGTTTTTTTGCTCACAACTGGTACCCTACCACTTGAGCCATACCTCCACTTTTTGATGGTTATTTGGAGATAAGAATCTCATATATTTATGAGATTTATGGCTCTGAATTTGTGATTCTCAGATCTCAGCCTCCTTAGTAGCTAGAATTATAGACATGAGCCACTGGCTGCCATATAGCATTTTATATTAAATGAATCTTCGATAAGTAGTTGTCAAACTTGAATTTTGAAAATTCAGTTTTGTCTGATGCTATTTTACTTGTTGGGACAGACTAGTCCTTTCCTGTGTTTTTAGTTTTCATCGTTTAGTGACAATAACTTTCAAATGCAGATCTCCTATTCCTATTCAGTGTCATCTCCTTCTTCTTGTTTTCCCTAATAGCTCTCATAACTCCTATTTCCATAAAAGGCATTATTCTTCAAGTTACATAAATTCAAGATCTTGATGAAAACTTTATCACTCTATTTTCTTAATCTTTTGACTGGAACCAGTCACAACATTCTGTAAATTTTTCATTCTAAAGTATTCTTAGCTTCAAATCCTCCAGTTCCCTTATCACCTCATACTCAGTTCTGCTACCAGTTTACTTCCTCTTTTTTAAAATATTTTTTTAATTGTAAAAATACTGTAGAGAGGGGTTACAGTTACATGAGCAAGGTAATGAGTACATTTCCTATCAAGCATTGTTGCCTCCTCCTTTGTTTTTCCCCTACCATCCCTTCCCTCCCACTTCCACAACTACACCTCCCCCACCCCCCTAGCCTAAATTGTAAAGTTCATTTTTCAACCTAGTGTCTTGTACATCTCATTGTTGCAATGGGTCCACCTGTATCCTTATTTAAACATTTGTTTTTTCCCTTCCCCTCCACAAATTAGACCGACATCAAATACAGTGAAAACGGAATATACCGTCAGGGAGGAAGATACAAAGCAACAAAAAAAAAAATCACATGGTACATTATAAATGCATTAGAAACAATAGCAAGAAAGAAAAAAACACTTGTGTCCCTATCTTGGGGTTCATTTCGCTTAACATCATCTTATCTGGTCATATCTGCTCGTCCCAGACACATATACTAGTTATTGCAAATAAGGGAAACCATGGGACCTACGTTTCTTTGGGCTTGGCTTACTTCACTTAATGTAATTTTTTCCATACTTCCTCTTTTGAGTAATCCCAGTGACTATAATATAGGGTCAGATTACATCATCCAGCATTTAAAGAATGTATTTACCACCCCCATTGTGAACCTTTTCCTTCCTGTCAAGTCAGACTTCTTAATTGTATTCTAAGCATACTTGTTCATTATCTTTTGGGGTGGAGAGGCTATCTTTTGGGGTGGAGAGGCGAATACTGAGGTCTGGACTCTGGGCCTTGTACTTGTTTGACTTTACTTGGTCAGTTTATGCCATACTCCTTGAGTCATACCTACAACCTGACTTTTTGTTGGTTATTTTTGGAGATGAAATCTCACAAACTTTTTTACCTGGGTTGAATTTGGACCTTGACCTGCCTGATCTCAGACTCCTGAATAACAGGCTATATCCTAGCTACTGGTTTGTGAAGCACCTGGCTTGTTAACTTTTGCAATGCCCTGGTCTTTCCTCTACTCAGCTATGCTGGATTCTGCTCAGTATTACTGTTTTCAATTTAAAAACAATCAGAGATAAAAAAGTAAAAGTACTCCAATTTAGTCTCTAATTGCATACCTCAGGCCTTTGTATAACTAGCTTCTAATAGTATACAACCTTCTAAATAGTATCTGGAGATTAGAAGCTTTAGTTTACCACAATTTGTTGTTCTTTTAATGCTTTGTAGTGATAACCTTATATCTAGGAAATACTAAAAACATGTTTACTGATTTAATGGATGAGCCCAATAAATTAAAAACACATGATTTTTCCTTCCAAAGTATTTACAAAGGTGACTTAGTGGCTGGGAATGTGGCTTAGTGGTAGAGTGCATGCCTAGCATACATGAAGCCCTGGGTTCAATTCCTTAGTATCACATAAACAAAAATCTGAAGTGGTTCTGTGGCTTAAGTGGTAGAGCTCTAGCCTTTAGCTTAGAAAGGCTCAGGGACCGAGCCCAGGCCCCTGAGTTCAGCCCCAGGAAGGAGTGGGGAGACGGGAGTGTTAGGTGATTTATTTCCTTCCTCTCACCCCTAATCCTATCATCAACATTTGTTTACAAATATCTGCAGATGGGGGAAGAATTAAAAGATGACAGATAAGCTTGGGGTTGGTGGCTCTTGCCTGGTAATCCTAGCTACTCTGGAGGCTGAGATCTGAGGATTAGGGTTTGAAGCCAGCCAGGGCAGGAAAGTTCTTGAGACTCTTATCACTAATAAGTTACTCACAAAATGCCAGAAGTGATGCTGTGGCTCAAGTGGTAGAGCTTTAGCCTTAAGCAAAAAAAAGCTTAGGGACGCTCCTACGGCCAGAGTTCGAGCCCCAGGACCAGCAAGAGAGGAGAGAAAAAGTAGAGATAACAGATTTGCAGCATATACTTTTTCTTTATGAAATCTATATCAACTTTTGCTTTTGTTTCCCTACATCTTGAAATTATATTTGGAGTTTCTTACTTTTGCATGTATTATTGCTGATATGAATGTCAGTGGTGTCTGTTGAATTTTGGTCATGTTTTCCAGTGGTAGTTTAAAAATATTTAGCAAGGAATATTCCATTTGATTTACATGTTTTTGTTATTTGACTTATTTAAGTGAACACAATTATTTTGTCTATGTTTGATTTTTAGCTCTACCAACTTTTCTTTCCCTGAATACATAAATTCTTTGTTGGGTCAATAAGCAATTTATATAGTTTGTGCAGGTTTTAAAATATCATTACTAGTTTTTATATATGGTGAATAGAAATGATAGGTTTAATCACTTTGTAAGTATTTGGGTGGTATAGTTTGAAAACAAGGTATGTTTCCATGGCAAATGTATTTATATAAAATTAGTGCTAACTTTCAAGTGTATGTCAAGTGCTTCAACTATGTAAAGGGTACTTAATATTTGATTAGTTTAGTTTTGATGAAAATATAGAAATGATATTTTCAATTATAAGGTTTTCCATTTAGAGCATGTCAAAAGAATAAGCATAGTAATTTGAATGCTCTATTTTTATTTCTAGAAACCAGCAAATATCCTAGTAATGGGAGAAGGTCCTGAAAGGGGGAGAGTCAAAATAGGTAGGTAATTAATCCTAAAATAAGTTATTAAGAACTGATTATAAAGATGTTTCCCTTCTTCATACTCTTATTTAAATAGTTAATTTAAAAATATTACAGTATTCTTAGCAAAAGCATTGGAAAATATAGGCATATAATCTATAAAAACCCTTAGGGAAATGGGAGGGAGAAACTGGGGAAAAGTGAAGGAAGGAATGATACAGTCCAAAAGAGAAATGTAGGGCTGGGAAGGTGGCTCAGTGGTAGAGCGCTTGCCTTGCATGCATGAGGCCCTGGGTTTGATTCCTCAGCACCACATAAGCAAAAAGAAAAAAGCTGGAAGTGGCGCTGTGGCTCAAGTGGTAGAGCGCTAGCCTTGAGCTGAAGAGCTGAGGGACAGCGCCCAGGCCCAGAGTTCAGGCCCCATGACCGGACCCCCCCCCCAAAAAAAAAAAAGGGAAAAAAAAAGAGAAATGTATGCATTACCTGAATTGTGAAATGGCTGTTTCTCTATAACATCTTAATAATAACAATAAAATTATATTTTTGAAAAAATACTAGGGCTTTTCCCAAAGTAAGATAATTCTAAAATTGAGACATCACTGGGAATTGACTAGCAAGCTCACAAAACACTAAATCCATATAATATCCCAGTCTTGTGTTAAATGTTACCACCAGTGTCCTGCATAGTCATCCGAAGCAAATCTCCTAAATCTTAGTTCCTTCCTTCACCTCCTCCCTCCCTCCTTTCTCTCTTTCTTTCTTTTCTCTTTCTTTCCTTCCTTCCCTCTCTCTCTCCCTCCCATGATCCCTCCCTCCCCAACTTTTCTTTCCTTGAATAAGTCTCTCTGGCCCTGAGATGGTCTCACAATCTCTTCTTACTCTTCCACCCCAGCCTATAATATTCCATGCTAGGTACTATCATGTTTTTTTCCAAATGAATATATATTTGTTTGTATGTGTGTATGTACATATGTATATACACACATCTTCTTACACTTGCCTGTCTTAGATTAAAACATGGCCAGAAAGGATTTTAAAATAAAATTTGTTTCACCAGCTTGGTTTTTGTTTTTTTGTTTTTGTCGGTCTTGGGTCAAACTCTGGGCCTGGGTGCTGTCCCTCAGCTCTTCAGCTCAAGGCTAGCACTCTATCCCTTGAGCCACAGCGCCACTTCCAGCTTTTTCTGCTTATGTGGTGCTGAGGAATCGAACCCAGGGCCTCGTGCGTGCAAGGCAAGCACTCTACCACTGAGCCACCTTCCCAGCCCCTGGTTTTTGGTTTTTGTTTTTCTGTTGGAATATACTATATTAGAGTTGTGCTTATGTGACTTCCTCCAAATTCATGGCTTCCTACTTCAACTGAGCCTGTCCCACTGCTTGATTTCCTACTTATAGCTCAATTCCTGAAGGTGTTCTAAGTTAGTTTTCCTTTCTTTAAATCTCTGTTCTGAGTTTGCTGAATACAAATTTATTTTAAAAATATTGATGTTAATTAAGCACCTGGTAGCCACTTCTTCTTTTCCCTTTCCAACACTCCTTATTGTTTCTATTATTTTATACCCACTGTCTTTTTTTTTTTTGGGGGGGGGGGGGGTCCGGTTGTGGAGCCTGAACTCTGGGCCTGGGCGCTGTCCCTCAGCTCTTCAGCTCAAGGCTAGCGCTCTACCACTTGAGCCACAGCGCCACTTCCGGCTTTTTTCTTTTTGCTTATGTGGTGCTGAGGAATCAAACCCAGGGCCTCATGCATGCAAGGCAAGCGCTCTACCACTGAGCCACCTTCCAGCCCCCTCACTGTCTTTCTTACAGGCATTTGTTGTGTACCTGCTTTTTGCCAGATGCAAATGGAAGGGAGATAAAGGATAGTTCCTCCTTATGAGAGATAGCCAGATAAACAACTTACTATATAGTGTACTACTTGCTTTCATGTTACCTTATTTGTTTTATACAACCCTTTTCTAAAAGATATCAAAGACAAGAAAGACTGTATTTAGAATAAATACATATTTATTCTAAATACAGTCTTTCTTGTCTAAATACAGTCTTGTCTTTGATATCTTTTAGAAGTCATAGGTTGTCCTGAGATTTTTCTGCTACAAATGTGGGTACCTGGTGATATCAGAGCTATCTGGTATAACTCACTGATTTTTGTTAGAACAACTGAGCTTTTGAACTAGCTTTAGGGAAATAGTGAATCTTCCCTTTCTAAGGTACTATCTTAGTCTTTTTTCTGACTTTTAAATATCTTCCCACTTGACTTAAATTCCCCATAACATAACTTTGCCATTTAAGCCCTTCTTGTTTCTCCTTTTCAACATTTATAGTCCTCTTCCCAATTTAAAAATAAATCTTTATCTCCACATTGTTTTATTTAGCATTTCTGTTATTCCCCCCTTCAAACACAAATTCAGACACTCTTTTTCCTCTATTGTTGGAATACTCTTGATGTTTACCCTTTGCTTTCACTTAATTGTTTACAAGTAAGCCTCTTAGTTGTATCCCTCTATCAAAACTTTCTCTAAAAGGTGACCTCTATCTTAATAAGTGTATCAGTCACTGTTCTCCTTTACTGCTGTAAATCATTTGTTCTTCTGACTAGCTGTCCTTGAGACCTTCTCCTTTGGCTTATATGGAATTATGAAATTCTGTTTTTATATCTACTGCTTTTGCTGTTAGTCTACATTTTATTCACTATTTCCTGTTATGTTTTATTAACCTATTTTAAGACATTGTAAACACTGGTTTGGGGAATGGTCTCCATCTCCCTCTACAATACTTAAGGGATTTGATAAGTTATATCCTCAGTCTTAGAGTCTTTGGCACTTATTGTAAGATTTTAGATTTTAGATTCTGTTCTTCCCAACTAAAGGTGTTCTCCCCTCTATTTGGGTTTCCTCCTGACAACATATACTCCATTGTCCCAAAGCAAATTCAGTATCATCTTAGATTCTCTGTTGTTTATGCCCTTCACTACATCCTTTCCCCCCAATCTAATGTCTTCTCCTTACCATTCTTCAACATAAAATTCTATAATCTGTAATCTGGTCAGGGCAGTTACTTTATTGTTAAGAATGTTAGTATTATACTGCTGGGGGAAGGGGGCTCACACCTTTAATCTTAACCACTCTGGAGGCTGAGATTTGAGGATTATGATTAGATGCCAGTAGGCTGGAAAGTCTTTGAGACTTTTATCTCCTATTAACCACCAAAGAGCCAAAAGTAGAGCTGTGTCTCAAATGGTAGAGTGGTAGCCTTGAGCAAAAAAAGCTCAAGAACAATGTCCAGGCCTGAGTTCAAGCCCCAGTATTGGCACAAAAGAAAAGAAAAAGAGAATTATAATTGTATACAAGATCAACCAGGATTATAAGTAAGCAGTAGCTGCTGGGGGGGGGGGGGGCAGTGACTCATGCCTGTAATCCTAGCTATTCAGGAGATTTGAAGACCATGGCAATAAACTCCATTAGTCTCTTCTGTCCTGTCAACTACTAAAACAAAGCTGGAAGTCTAGCTGTGGCTCAAGAGGTAGAGTGTTAGCCTTGAGCAAGCAAAGCTCAGGGACAGTGCCCAGGCTCTGAGTTCAAACTGAGGACTAGCATTAACAAAAAAAAGTAAGCAGTAATTAATAATAAAGTTCTAATGAAGAAACGATTGATTTAGTTGATTGAGCTTCTTGTTTTAATAGCACATTATTTTTTAATTTCACTAGTAATATTTTTATGGTGCTGGAGATTGAACCCAGAACCTCATACATACTAGCTAAGTATTCTACCACTGAGATACATATTCCCAACTTCATCATCACTGTTATAAAAAAAATAACAATCATAGGGGAACTGAGAACATAGTTAGCTCAGTGGTAGGATTTTTTGCCTAGCATGAATTAGGTTCTGGGTTCCCAGACCTTATCAAAAATGTCCCCCCCCTTCTCTCTCTCTCTCTCTCCCTCTCTCCCTCTCCCTCTCTCCCTCTCTCTCTCTCTCTCTCTCTCTCTCTCTCTTCCCCCCCTATATCTATCTAGTCTGTTGCTGGGGTTTGAACTCCTGGATCTTGCACTTTCTAGGCAGGCACTCTATCACTGAGCTACACCCTCCATCCCTTCTAACTTACTTATTGCCTTTATGTTTTACTATATAAAAATACTTGTCTTCCAGGATTCGGATCAAGTTCTACTTTCAATTTAGTCTATTAAACTATTTAGTCCATAAGTGTCTATTAAACATTATTCTCGATAACACCTTGAAGGAGACATAATCCCTTCATAGATTTTGTACCTAGTAAAAACCAGCAACTTTCTTTATTCTCATTATGTAATTAGCTTTTTACTTTTATATACTCCCTGTATTTTGTTATATAAGTTCTTTGTGTGATAGAACTTGTATGACTGCTTTTCTATCATTTGATATTGCCTGATTAGGATCCACACCAGAATTCTGCTACATCAGTCTTCTTTTTTTTTTTTTTTTTTTTTTGGTCCAGTCGTGGGGCTTGAACTCTGGGCCTGAGCGCTCTCCCTCAGCTCTTCAGCTCAAGGCCAGCGCTCTACCACTTGAGCCACAGCGCCACTTCCAGCTTTTTTCTTTTTGCTTATGTGGTGCTGAGGAATCGAACCCAGGGCCTCGAGCATGCAAGGCAAGCGCTCTACCACTGAGCCACCTTCCCAGCCCATACATCAGTCTTCTTAATTGAACAATTCCACTCAGTCTGATATTTAAAAATTGTTCTAGTAGTGTTTTGGCTAGTTAACTTTTGTCTAAATTAGTAATTATTTGAAAAGTGGTTTGAAGTGCTTTTAATGTTTATATAATAGGAATAATTTTTAAAACTATTTTCTTCTTTTTGGCCTTGATTTCATCTAGTCATTAAATAGACGTACTTACCTAAAACTAAAGAGATAAAGAGTAAGGGGAGAAATAAAAGCTAGTGCCTCTGCTTTAAAGTGCTTTTTAATGAATTATATGGCATTTCATCATACTTTGCCATCAACTGTAATCCATATCTGGTTGTTTAATCTGATTAACCATATCATTTGCAGCCATTTTTTATCTATTTGATGGCATACTTTGCTATCAACAACAATTAGCATTTATTAAATGTATAAAGCATTGCTTTGAATATTGTGCAATATTATAGAATGATAGGTATAATATTAGTAAAATGGTTGAATATTTTTGTTTGCTACAGGAAATTTAGTTTAAAAAGAATAGGCATCAGTGTAGTCTTCCTTGGGTTACTTTGCTTCTTAAGACCTAGATACTCCAAAGCATCCTCAAAAAGTCTTGTAAATTTTTTAAATGTAAAAGTTTCAAACTCTAAAGCAACAAAATCATAGTAATCAAAATTTTAATGTATATTATGTCATAGCAGATTAGTTTTAGATTAAGAGATTTTCTATAGTTGAAATGTTTTTGTCTATTTGTGCATTTTATAGTATAGTGGGGCCCCTTATGTATTCAAATTACCTGCATATATTACACATTTCAAATTAAGAGGTTTATCATTCTTGTGACAGCGACTTTGTGACTTGTAATTGTCATATGTATAATCTACTGGATGTATAATTAGGCAGATCCTAAATTGTAGCATGATTTTTTAAATACTGAGCTCTTTACTTACTATTGCTATCAATGTGGACAAGTCATTCAACTGCTTTGGCCTTAGATCTTTCATCTCAGGAGTGCTTATTAAACTATTATTTTTATGAAGATTAAATTAGACAATACAGGTTATATGTGTGTTTGTGTGCCATTTGTAAACTTATAAAATCTAAAAAAATAGTTTCTATGACTTAACTGTAGTTTTGAATACTCTTTTTATTAGTTTTATGTAGCCCCTAATATTTAAATCAATTAACTTTGGTTTAGACCTTTGTTAAATACTGCTTTATAACTAGTTACAACTTGTGTATTCTAGTCATATTTTTGGAAACGTGTGATATGTTGGTTACTCTTCAGCTGATTTTCTGGAGGACAAAAGCCACAGTTTGTGGAATTTTCTGTTTTTCATGTTATAAATACTTCTATCATAGCCAGTTCCAAGTCACCAATATGCTGTATGAAAGAGCTCCATACAAATCAGCTCTTGTGAGTTTGTAGGGAAGTTGGCCTTAGGACATACTGAACCTAGGTGTAATCAGTTCTTCCATACATAGGTAGATATGCAGAAATAATAAGTAATTGTTTAGATTTTTAGACTGTTTTAGATTTGAAAAGCATTTAAGAATATTTTAACTGTCCCTGCAGTCAGAGCTGGATTCTAATTCTGACTCTGAACCTACTTTATGGGGTCTTGGGCAAGTCAGAGGAAACTATTTTGCTCTTAATCAACAAAACAGGCACAGTAGTAGTATCTTTTTGGGTGTGAGGGAGTACTAAACATAATCCCCACTGTGTGATATAGATTTCTGCTTTTATTTTTTTCAGAGGGAAAGCATTGTTCTATAAGGCCAGTAGCTATTGTTGTCAACCCTGAATGGTTTTAATAATGTGATACTAAATTTTATATGAATTTATTTTATTTTTTAGCTGATATGGGTTTTGCCAGATTGTTCAATTCTCCCCTAAAGCCACTAGCAGATTTGGATCCAGTAGTTGTGACATTTTGGTATCGGGCTCCAGAACTTTTGCTTGGTGCGAGGCATTATACAAAGGCCATTGGTAAGTTGATCTAAAATGATTTATCGTCTTGACATCAAATTCATTAATACCAAGTATCTATGAAATGTAAGTAAGTATAACTTTATTATAGCTTTATAATACTAAAGCTACTTGGTAAAACTTAGTATATAGCTCTTTGTAAGAGTTCTATTGACTTCTATATTTCTTGATTTCGAATTTTTTTTTTTTAAAGAAGTATTGGGCCCCAGGCATCAGTGGTTCATGCCTGTAATCCTGGCTAGTCAGGAGGCTCAGATCTGAGGATCATGGTTTAAAGCAGCCCAGGCAGGAAAGTCTGTAAGACTCTTATCTCCAGTTAGCCACCAGAAAACCAGAAGTGGCGCCAGGCTCAGGGACAGCCCAAGGCCCAGAGTTCAAGCCCCATAACCCACAACTGACTAAAAAAAAAAAAAAAAAGTACTAGGGATTGAATTCAGGGCCTCACACTTAGTAGACAATTATTCTGTCACTTGAGACATTTTGTCAGTCCCCTTATTCATTGGTTATTTTTATTTATTTAGTTATTTTTTATGGTCATTTTTAAGCTGGGTGCCTTTGGCTCACCCTTGTAATGCCATCTGCTCAGGAAGCTGAGATCTGAGGATCATGGTTCAAAGCCAGCCTGGGGAGGGGATTTTTATCTCTACTTATATACGAAAAAGCCAGAAGTGAAGCTGTAGCTCAAGTAGTAGAATGCTAACCTTGAGCAAAAAACCCCAACAAACCCAGGTACAGCACGTAGGCTCTGAGTTCAAGCCCCAGGACTAACACCAAAAACAAAAATACCCCCCAAAACCAAACTCTCAGCATTGTTATGTAGATCTTTTTCCATTTGGTGTAATTTGTTTTGCAAAAGAATAATAACAGTTACTCTAATTAATGAATATAATCAAACTCTTATCTGTAGAATATAGTAACACTGTGGTAAATACTGTACTTTTCTATAATACACCATATTTGTAGCATTATTAACTTTTCTCTTTCTAATAAATCCTAAGTGGCATTTATTTAAACTTATAAATATGAATATACATGTCACAAAAATTAATTCACATTTGATAAAATGTTGCAGGTAGAGTATTATAGTACCAGAAGATAAATTATAGGTTTTGTTTTGTTTTGTTTTGTTTGTTTTTGTCATCATGGGGCTTGAACTCTGGGTTTGGGCCCTGACCCTGAACTCTTCAGCTCCAGACTAGCACTCTACCATTTGAGCCACAGTACCACTTCTGGTTTTCTGGTAGTTAATTGGAGATAAGAGTCTCAGGGACTTTCCTGCCCTGGCTGGCTTTGAACCATGATCCTCAGATCTCAGCCTCCTGAGTAGCTAGGATTATAGGTGGGAGCCACTAACGCCTGGCAAATTATACTCGTTTGTTTGTTTTGTTTTTTTTTTTTTTTTCATATATAAAACCCAAAAGCCGGGTGCCAGGTGGCTCACACCTGTAATCCTAGCTACTCAGGAGGTTGAGATCTGAGGATCCCAGTTCAAAGCCAGCCTGGGCAGAAAAGTCTGTGAGACTCATCTCCAATTAACCACCAGAAAACCAGAAGTGGCGCTGTGGCTCAAGTGGTAGAGCACTTGCCTTGAGCTGAAGAGCTCAGAGACAGCCCCCAGGACAGAGTTCAAGACCCAAGATTGACCAAAAATAAACAAACAAAAAACTCAACAGAATAATCTATGCTGGCTTTAAATAGACAATAATTTTATTGTGAGGTGCTGTGGATTAAAACAGAGTTTTGGGAATGCTAAGCAGGTGCTCTACCACTAAGCTACATTTGTAGACCCTGACAAAACTTTTAAAGATGCTAAACTTGGGGCTGGGAAAGTGGCTCAGTGGTAGAGCGCTTGCCTTGCATGTATGAGGCCCTGGGTTCGATTCCTCGGCACCACATAAGCAAAAAGAAAAAAAGCCAGAAGTGGCGCTGTGGCTCAAGTGGTAGAGCACTAGCCTTGAGCTGAAGAGCTGAGGGACAGCGCCCAGGCCCAGAGTTCAGGCCCCACGACTGGACCCAAAAAAATAAAAAATAAAAAAAAAATAAAGATGCTAAACTTTGTGTTGGAGTTAGCAGAAAGGCTATAAGTAAATGAATAGAAAAATGTATTTTCTACTCTCTCATGTAAAGCCTGTGTGTACTTGTATTATTTATAAGCTTATACCTTATAATTTCTTCTAAAAGAACTGAGGCTGGTAGTCTTTCAGACAGAAGTTGAATTTTCCAGGGGCTGGGAAGGTGGCTCAGTGGTAGAGTGCTTGCCTTGCATGCATGAGGCCCTGGGTTCGATTCCTCAGCTCCACATAAGCAGAAAAAGGCTAGAAGTAGTGCTGTGGCTCAGTGGTAGAGCACTTAGCCTTGAGCTGAAGAGCTGAGGGACAGCACCCAGGCGCAGAGTTTAGGCCCCACGACCAGCAAAAAAAAAAAAAAAAAAGTTGAATTTTCCAAACTCTTTTACATCTGTCTAGACTCAATATGCATTGCTGTATAATTATGCATTTAATTGCTTTAAAATAATTATAAGCCAGGCTTGAGTGGCTCATGCCTGTAATCTTTAGCTACTCAGGAATCTAGAGTCTGAGGTTTGTGGTTCAAAGCCAGCCTGGGCAGGAAAGTCTGTGAGACTCTTATTTCCAGTTAACCACAAAAAGCCAGTACAGCTATGGCTCTACTGTGGTAGAGCACTATACTAACCTAAAGCTTGGGGACAGCACCCAAACCCTGAGTTCAAGCCTTAGATCTCTCTCTCTCTCTCTCTCTCTCTCTCTCCTCTCTTTCTCTCTCATATACACACACAGAATTACATTTTTTATCTGACTATAATCTTATTTCATTCTTTTATCTCCTATTTCAGATTAATAATTAGTGCTTCAACAGTTAAATGAGCTACACAAAATTTTTCCCCCAAATCTAATTCATTGTACCAGTTACAGTTGTGCACTGCTGTAAGTCTAATAGTTGGGAGGCTGAGGCAGTAGGATTAGGAGTTTGAGGCTAGCCTTAACTACATTGCAAGGTCTGACTTCAAAAAACAAAACAAAAAGAAAATCATTGCTTGCCAAGTTGAGTTCTTCCTGAGTTTAACTTCATCAGGAAATTTAAAAGTAAATGTTTCTTATTTGGCTTCCAATCTGTTACATGATGAAATAGCTATTTCATGTCACTTATACACTCTGTACATTTTCTCTTCTTTTCCTTCCTTCCCCTCCCTCCTTTCCTTTCCCATCTCTTTTGTGCCAGTGCTGGAGCTTAAACTCAGGGCCTGGGTTCTGGCTCTGAGCTTTTGTGCTCAAGGCTAGTGATCTACCCACTTGAACCACAGTTTCAGTTCTGGCTTTTTGGTGGGTTGGGAATGGGGCTTAGTGGTAGAGTGCTTGCCTAGCATGCATGAAACCCTGGGTTTAATTCCTCAGTACCACATAAACAGAAAAGGCTGGAAGTAGCTTTGTGACTCAAGTGGTAGAGTGCTAGCAGAAATAAGCTCAGAGACAGTGTCCAGGCCCTGGCCCAGGACTGCTCTCCTCCCCTCTCCCCCCCAAAAAAGTCTCACAGACTTTCCTGTCTTAAGTGGCTTTGAATCATGATTCTCAGATCTTAGCCTTCTGAGTAGCTAGGATTATAGGCATAAGCCACCAGTACCTGGCTTATACATTTTCATAATATACTTACTGTATTTTGTGAATTGTTTTACTGAAAAGTATTCTTATATGCATGTTGGAATTATAATTAAGTAAATATAATGCATTTGTATAAAAATTTGTTTTTTTCCATAGACATATGGGCAATAGGTTGTATATTTGCTGAATTGTTGACTTCAGAACCTATTTTTCATTGTCGTCAAGAAGATATAAAAACAAGCAATCCCTTTCATCATGATCAACTTGATCGGATATTTAGTGTCATGGGGTTTCCTGCAGGTAATTTATTTTCCTGTTAAGCAATTTAAATTATATTTGATCTATATTTTAAAACTAAAAAACTGTACATCATCTTTATAATAACAGTAAAAAAATTTTAAAAATGCCAGTGCCAGTGGCTCATTCCTGTCATCCTAGCTAATCAGAAGGCTGAAATCTGAGGATCAGGGTTTAAAGCCAGCCCAGCCAGGAAAGTCTATCAGACTCTTACCCTCAATTAATCACCAGAAAATCAAAAGTTGAGCTGTGGCTCAGAATGGTAGAGTGCTAGCCTTGAGCAAAAAAAGAGCTCAAGGACAGCATCCAGGCCCTAAGTTAAAGCCTCATGACCATAAATAAATAAATAAATAAATAAATAAATAAATAAATAAATAAATAAATAAATGTTATTTTCTATAACAATATTCAATATTTTTTGTAAGATAAAGATTGGGAAGATATCAGAAAGATGCCAGAATACCCTACACTTCAGAAGGACTTTAGGAGAACAACGTAAGTTTTTCCATATTGTCTTAGTCCATGTGTACTGAAATTTTAAAATAAGTTTTAGATTGGGTAACTTATAAACAACAGAAATTTATTTTCTTACAGTTCTGGAGGCTGGAAAGTCCAAGATTAAGGTGCTAACTAGCAGGTTCAGTGTCTGCTTCCGAGATGGTGCCTTGTTGCTGGGTCCTCATGTTGTCAAGGAAAAAAAGGGGTGAACTCATTGTGAAGCTTCTATTGTAAGACATTAATGTCATTTATGAGAACCCTCCATGACCTAATCACCTTCATTTTCATTCTGGTACATTGGGGATTAGGTTTCAACATGAATTTTGTGAGGAACACATATATTCAAGCCATAGCTTATTAGTTATAGGTATATAGTAATGTTCAAGGGAAAAATATTACCCTTTAAAATTGTATGTGAAAAATTGAAATTTAGAGTATTATATTTAGTGTATTATGTCTATGATTTAAAGAATACATTGCAGATAACGTATATACCCAATTTAGGCTATAGTATTTTAAAACTTTTAAGAATTTCAGCATCAGTAGTCAGTTTAAATGTCTATTTCCTTCTAACATGAATGGTTTTATCTTTATCTGAATAATAATTGATGAAATGGAAATGGTGGTGTAGGAAACCATGAGGGATGGTGGGAAGAAAAACCTGTGGCGCAGGGTCTTACTAAAACAAGACCTTGTCAAAGGAAGAGAGGAGAGAAAGGAAAGTGAAGAGAGGGGAAAAGGAGAGGGAGAAGAGAGGAAATGGAGAGGGGAGCAGAGAAAAAGAGGAGGAAAGGAGTGGAGACAAGTATGAATAGAAATGAGAGAGAGCAAAGGCAATTGTTTGAAAGGACTTTGTTATTGACCCACACCTATAGGAAACATTCTCTTAGGGAAACTTACCTGAAAAATTTCAGGACAGTATCACAGGAACAAAAGTGGACATTATAAAGAGAAGTAGATGGCATTAATCATTTCCAGATGTGTTTGCACAGTCCTTGGTAGGGTCCTTTGCCTCGTTCCCTTAAGATAGCATTGATAACCATGCTTCTGGACTGGGCTCTCTGCTTACTGTAGACATTTTTCCCAGGTAAACTTTAGTTTCAGTGGCCACAATTTATCAGCAGTTAAGATGATAACTCCTAATTTATACAGCTTTAAGTATCTCATATGAAATATTTGGGGTTAGAAGTGTTTTTAGATCGGGAATCTTTTTCAGACATCTGGATTTTGTTTAGGGATGTACAACTTGTATATCCTACTCAAATCTCTTTTCTAGTTTTAGAACCTGTTTATCAAATTGCCTTATGGAACACCAACTTGAATATTCTATAAGTACTTTAAACATTTAAAATAGAATTCAGCATCTATCTTCTTCAACCACTCCATGCTATATTTCCTATCCTAGGAAATGGCTTCATGATTCACATAATTATTTAAGCCAAAGACCTGGGAATTCCCCCTTATCTGTCATTCTTTCCTCCTCTCCTCTCCTCTCCTCTCCTCTCCTCTCTTCTCCTCTCCTCTCCTCTTCCTCCCTTCCCCTCTCCCTTTCTTCTTTTTCCCTTTCCTTTTCCTTTGTTCTCCCTCTCCTCTTCCCTTCTCCCCTTTCCTTCTTCTCCGCTCTTCCTTTTGATGAGGTCTTATTATGAAGCCCAGGCTGTGGCCTTAAAGTCTTGATTCTCCTGCTTCAGCCTCCCAGGGTGTGTACCACCATGCCTAGCTAAATAACTCTTTGCCATGTGTATTTGTGTGTGTGTGTGTGTGTGTGTGTGTGTGTGTGTGTGTGTGTGTGTGTGTGTGTGTGTATTCTTCTTTGAAGAGGGCTCTAATGTTAGCAAAGATGTAATAGAATGAGCACTTGTATTTTTTTTTTTCAGTCCTGGGGCTCTAACTCAGGGTTTGGGCACTGTCCCTTAGCTTCTTTTGCTCAAGGGTAGCACTCTACCACTTGAGCCACAAAGCCACTTCCAGCTTTTTCTGTTAATGTGGTACTGAGGAATCACAGGGCTTCATGCATGCTAGGCAAGCACTCTACCACTAAGCCATATTCCCAGCCCAGCACTTGTTTTCTGATGAGAATGTGTGCTTTTCGAACTTTGATGTACCTATAAATCCAGAGACCTTGTTAAAATTGTAGATCCTATGCTGGATGTGGTAGGACACATCCATATTCCTAGCTACTCAGGAAGCTGATAGGAGAGAATTTTAAGCCTAGGAGTTTGAGGCAAACTTGGGCAATGTAGTGAGACACCCTCATCTTAAAAAACAAAATTAAGAAAAAAAACATATTCTGAGGGTTGGAGATGTAGCTCTGTGGTAAATACTTGCCTAGCAGATAAGAGACCCTGGGTTTGATCCAGCACTGTGAAAGGGGAGGAAAGGCAGATTTTTGAGTTCGAATCTGGGAAGGGGGTCTGAGAATCTTCATTTCTAATACTACTTTGCTATAGCATGATTCTAGAACATACCCTTGGATCTGATAACTTTAGGAATTTATTCTGCAGAAAGTAATCGGAGCTGCCTCTAGTAGCTAGTACTTCCTGTGTGCCCACATAGTTTTTCCATAGATCCTCATAATAAACAAACTTCCTGTGTGCCCACATAGTTTTTCCATAGATCCTTGTAATAAACAAATCTATAGAGTAGATATAAATATAACCTTCACTTTTCAGATGAAGAACATAATGTTTCATAGAAGTTAAGTTGCCCAAGACCACACAATTGAGAGATGACTGAGTCAGGGCCTAGTAGAGGGAGGTTTCTGATTCTCATCTGCTATGAAATGTTGTTTCTTTGCCAAGTGTACCAGATTTACCTACAAATTATGTGTATTACATAGCTTTTATGAAACAGCTCCATATCAGTAGGACATACCACCATTCAGTAACTACAGAGCTTCTGACAAGAGGAAATGTTTATGAAACAATATTAAATGGCAAAAAGCCAACTTTAATATTGTGATCCCAGGTTTATAAACACAAAACAGAAACCCTCTGTTTGTATTCTGTGTATATATGCATTTTTAAAAAACCAAAGGAAAATCACCAAAATGTTCAAATGATTATCACAGAGTGGTTTGATTATGCAGGATTTCAGTTTCCTTCCTTATAGTTTTCTTCATTCCCTATTTTCCCCTGCCCTCCTCTCCTCTTCCCCTCATCTTTTCCCTCTCCCCCCACCCATCCTTTGAAAAAAGGAGGAAACTCCTCTCCTCCGCTCCCCACTTCTCTCTACTCTCTCTCACTTTGCTAAATGACATTCTTCCCCTTCATGATGAACTGAAACCATAAGCCAAAACAAATCTTTACTCCTTTAAAGTTTTGGGCTCAGTTTGTCATAGTGATGAAAAACAGACATATATTGCTGAAAGTTATTGTTTTGCTCAGTACTGATGGCTTAGGCCTATAATCCTAGCTACTGAGAAACTGAGATCTAAAGATTGCAGTTCAAAGCCAGTCAGTCTGGGCAGGAAAGTCCTTGAGACACTTATCTCCAATTAACTACCAAAAAGCTGCAAGAGTTGCTGTGCTCAAGTGGTAGAAAACCAGCCTTGGGGAAAAAAAGCTAAGGTTGAGCACTCTGGTCATGATTTCAAGTTCCTAGTACTGGCACAAAAAAAGAAGTTATTATTTGCTTTGGTATATCTTTGAACTTTATATCTTCCTTCTAATGGATGAGTAAAATTCCATGTGTATACTATACATACCACATGTTTTATAAAACACTCATCTATTGTAGGGTTTCTGGGCTGTTTCCCTAAACTTGTCTATTGTGAATAGTGCAGAAATAAACATGGATGTGCAAGTGTCTTTACTATATCCTAACTTGTAATATTCTAGATGTTCTGGGTAGATACCAAGAGTGGTATTGCCTGGGTCATAGGGGAGTTCTATGTTTAGTGCAACAGCTAAGATTCAAGTTTGTACCTAGAGTGGAATTTCTAGGTGGTAGAATATATTTATTTTCCACTCTAGTGGTTAACACATCATTTTCCCAAATGATTGGATCAATATAAACTCTCAAATGTAATGTTTAACAATTCCTGTTTCTTTTCTTGCTTGCCAGTATTTGGTAAGATACTTCTTTGTAATCAAAAAAGGCAATGGGTTACACATACCTTTTTAGAAAACTAGTTTTGGAGCTATTTATTAAGAAACACAAATTATTTATTAAGAAATGCAAATTAAGCCAGGCACCTGTAGTTACTCAGAAGACTGAAATCTGAGGGTTTATGTTGGAAGCCAGGCAGGAAAGTGTGAGTTTTAGCTCCAATTAACCACCAAAAAGCTGGAAGTAGAGATTTGGCTCAAGTGGTAGAGCACTAACCTTGAGCACAAAAGCTTAGGGACAGCATCCAGGTCCTGAGTTCAAGCCCCAGGACCAGCACACAGAATAAGAAAGAAATGCACATTTGAATGCATGCTCCCATTGACTGGTGGTGATCTATATCTTTGCAGGTATGCAAACAGTAGCCTCATAAAGTACATGGAGAAACACAAAGTCAAGCCGGACAGCAAAGTGTTCCTCTTGGTAGGTACTTCTCTAACAGATTGAAGTCTGATCTTAGCACAACTCTAACCTCACTTTGTTTTCTATGGATTTGTCCAGTGGTTGTTCCTTTTGAAATAAAAGACACTTGGCCAGGCACCGGTGGCTCACACCTGTAATCCTATTCAAGAGGCTGAGATATGAGGATCCCGGTTCAAAGCCAGCCCAGACAGGGCAGGAAAGTTTGTGAGACTCTTATCTCCAATAAAGGACCCAGAAAACTGGAAGTGATACTGTGACTCAAGTGGTAGAGTGCTGGCCTTGAGCAGAAGAGCTGAGGGACAGCACCCAGGCCCAGAGTTCAAGCCCCACAACCAACCAAAAAGAAAAAAGAAATAAAAGATACTAGAGGTTGGTTGTGAGGACAATATTAAGTATTTTTCTGTTGAGATATCATCCTTGACTTAAAATGTATGCTTAACAATGAGTTAGCAACCAAGGAATCATTTTAGAAGGCTTTAATAATGATGATTTCTTCACATAAATATGTGCATAATAAAGTAATTGTGCAGTGTACAATTCAACATGTACTTGATATTAGTCCTGTTAGACATTAATACAAAAGTCAGAACATTGACTCATAAACAACATTCTCATATGTTATCAAATTCTTCTGTGTTGCTCTAGCTTCAGAAACTTCTTACTATGGATCCAACCAAAAGAATTACTTCAGAACAGGCTCTGCAGGACCCCTATTTTCAGGAGGACCCCTTGCCAACATTAGAGTATGTATCCTTCTTCCCTCTTCTATTTACTTTGCTCTAGGTTGAAGATGTTTCATGGTGGCTGAAAACAAGGGAAGCACCTGTTAACTAAAGTACTTGACTTTCTTCAATAAAGCTGCCTCATAGAAAAAAAACCAAACTGCTAAAGAGAAGGGACCCAATTTTTGAAATAGGACAGTCTATGAACAAAAACAAAGAATGACCAGTAATCAGTTTTACAGATGCAAGTTAAAGCAAAAATAGATGAGACTCTTATAGATCAATAAGCTAAATCAGAGGCTAAACCAAACCAGTAGGCAATGGTAAACTTAAAATTTACTGTTTCAGAACATTTCCACAGCACTGCAAAACCTCTCTGTTCTTGTATCCTTATTTCACTCATGTATGTACTTTGAGTTTATATTGATTAGAAGTACATTTTGCCTGGTACCAGTGGCTCAGACCTGTAATCCTAGCCACTCAGGAGGCTGATATCTCAGGATCTCAGTTTGAAGCCAGCCTGGGCAGAAAAGTCTATGAGACTCATATCACCAACTAACCACAAAAAGCCAGAAGTAGAGCTGTGGCTTGAGTGGTAGAGTGCTAGCCTTGAGCAAAAAAGCTGAGGGACGAGGCTGGGAAGGTGGCTCAGTGGTAGAGTGCTTGCCTTGCATGCATGAGGCCCTGGGTTCGAGTCCTCAGCACCACCTAAGCAGAAAAAGCTGGAAGTGGTGCTGTGGCTCAAGTGGTAGAGCACTAGCCTTGAGCTGAAGAGCTGAGGGACAGCGCCCAGGCCCAGAGTTCAGGCACCATGACTGGCAAAAAAAAAAAAAAAAAAAGCTGAGGGACAGCACCCAGGCCTTGACTTCAAGCCCTAGAACCACATATACACACACAAAGAAGGAGGAAATTGGGGGAGGATTGTCTACTTTATTCTTGTTGGTGTTGGTTTTTCATTCAGATCCTTGCCCTTGCTAAGCAGAAAAGCAGGCATTCTTATTGCAGAGCCATGCTTCCAGCCCTCATTTTTTTTGTTAGGTTTGAGATAAGGTCTCACTTTTTGTTGAAGCATGTGAAATCCACCTATTCTAGGTGTCCTGATAGCTAGGATAACTATTGTACACAACAGTCTCACAAACATGTTTTTGCCTCATAAACCATGATTCTAGTAATCTCACCCTTCCAAGTAGCGAGGATTATAGGTATTTCCCAGTATCTGGCTAGAAGTTCATCTTTTCTTGAGGGGATTTTCTTTTTCTTGTTGAAACAAATTCATGTTTATTTGGATACTGTGAAATTAGTATAAAGAAACTTCTGTCATATATGTTAGCTAGCAGCAGTTACACCTTGAACTTGAAAATGACAGCATAAAAATTAAAGTGTGATGAATTTTTATTGCTTACGTTGTTTTGGAAGGCATCCAGCCACAGGTAAAGCCTAGGATGTAAGATCAGAAATAAAAAGTGACTATGCAACTTGTAGGCAGTGACAGGAGGAAGAAACTGGGGGAAAGCAAATGAAGGAATGACATTGTCTAAAAAGAATTGTATTCCATTACCTGATTTATGAAATGATAACTTCTGTATAACACCTAATTGATAACAATAAAGTTATATTTTTAAAAAATTATGTTAATGGGGCTGGGAATGTGGCTTAGTGGTAGAGTGTTTGCCTAGCATGAAGCCCTGGGTTCGATTCCTCAGTGCCACATAAACTGAAAGAGCTGGAAGTGGCACTGTGGCTCAAGTGGTAGAGTGCTAGCCTTGAGCAAAAGAAGCTCAGTAACAGTACCCAGGCCCTGAGTTCAAGCACAGGACTGGAAAATTTTTTTTACAAAAGAGTAGAATTTTTAATAAGAAAGTTAATGATAGTATAGATTTTAAGGTCATGGCATGTTTTTTTTTAAATACTTTTTAGTGTGTTTGCTGGATGTCAGATTCCATACCCCAAAAGAGAATTCCTTAATGAAGATGAACCTGAAGAAAAAGGCGACAAGGTATAAACTTTATAACACTTTGACTTTCAGAGGGTAAGGGAGGCAGAAAGATAACTTGATAATTGCTATATATCTATCCCCTTTTATTTATATATTTCTTTTCCATGAAAGTTTGGGGATGTAAATGTATTTGAAAAAAAAATTTACAGATAATTAAGCTTTCTGGTCTGTTTAATAGATCATTTCACTCCCTGATTCCTAATTCTTCTTTGTTTTATTTGTTCACATCATTACCATCATGTTATGCAGATGCTTTTAAAAAATTTTTTATTATGAAAATATACTGTACAGAGGAGTTACAATTACGTGGGCAAGATAATGAGTACATTTCTTATCAAGCATTGTTGCTTCCTCCTTTGTTTCCCCTTCCTATCCCTTCCCACATCCCTCCTCCCTTCCTCCACCCCTCCCCCAGCCAAAGTTGTAAAGTTTGTTTTTTGACATAACGACTTATACATCTCATTGTTGCAATGGGTCCACCTATGCAGGTACTTTTGCAAGCAGCACTCTAATATGGGACCATACCTCCAGACCTTTTTTGCATGGTTATTTTGAGATAGGGTCTCACTTTTTGCCAAGTCTCATGCCTGAAGTAGAATCTAGTTTTATGCTTCCCACAGTATCTTGGATAATAGGGGCTTGCAACAATGTCTAGTTTCTTCCCTTGAAATGAAATCTCAGGAACTTTTTAACCTGGAACCGTCATCCTCCCAACTTCAGTCTTCTGTATAGTGAGATTACTATTCCCAGCTATTGATTGAGAAGGGATGGTGTGAACTTTTCTGTGCAGGCTGAAAATTGGGCGGCTGCCCTCCCAATTATAGACACAACTACCATGCCTGACTTGTTTTTATTTTGTTGGTTGTTTTTTGTTTTGACCATTTTTGGGGTCTTGCTCTGTGGTCCACACTGACCTGAAGCTCACGCTATAGCCTGGGTTGGCCATGAAAACTGTACCCTCTTGCCTTCACTTCCACAGTGCTGAGATCATAAGCTTGTGTCACCATACCTGTTCCATCTCACCCTGTTCTTTTTTTTTTTGGTCCAATTGTGGGGGCCTGAACTCTGGGCCTGGGCACTGTCCCTCAGCTCTTCAGCTCAAGGCTAGTGCTCTACCACTTGAGCCACAGCGCCACTTCCGGCTTTTTTGTTTTTGCTTATGTGGTGCTGAGGAATCAAACCCAGGGCCTCAGGCATGCAAGGCAAGCGCTCTACCACTGAGCCACCTTCCCAGCCCTCACCCTGTTCTTTTATCTTAACTGCTTATATGACCTCCCTCATTATACTGCTCTGTTTTTCCTAACTCATGATTTGAAATGACTTCTTATAACCATTATAATGAGTACAACACAATTCCCTATGTGCTTATGGCTATGACTAATTTGGAGGATACTGAAATGAACTTTTGGGAGTGCATTCTGTTCAGGATTCAGCATATTGACCCTTGGGGATGCTGTAGTCTGGCAGCTGCCCTTTCTCCAGTCATTCCAGGCACTTAATGAGTCATGCAGCTTGTATCACAGGTAGATCAGAAGTCACATGTGCATCTAAAATAATGAAGGAAATTTTCATTAATTTAGTTTTATATCAAACTTACTTTTTCTTTTCCTTTCATAAAAGAATCAGCAACAACAGCAGAACCAGCATCAGCAGCCCACAGCTCCTCCACAGCAGGCAGCAGCCCCTCCACAGGCACCTCCACCACAGCAGAACAGCACCCAAACCAATGGAACAACAGGGGCAGCCACAGCTGGTGTTGGTGCTGGAGCAGGGCTACAGCACAGCCAGGACTCCAGCCTGAATCAGGTGCCCCCAAACAAGAAGCCACGTCTTGGGCCTTCAGGCGCAAACTCAGGCGGACCTGTTATGCCATCTGATTATCAGGTACTTTTCTCCTTTTTTTTTTTGGGTCCCGTCGTGGGGCCTGAATTCTAGGCCTGGGTGCTGTCCCTCAGCTCTTCAGCTCAAGGCTAGCGCTCTACCACTTGAGCCACAGCACCACTTCCGGCTTTTTTCTTTTTGCTTATGTGGTGCTGAGGAATCGAACCCAGGGCCTCAGGCATGCAAGGCAAGTGCTCTACCACGGAGCCACCTTCCCAGCCCCGAATTTTCTCCTTTCTAATGTGGATATGTTTCATTAAGTGGGAAATGGACTTAAATAGTTCTTAAATCTTAACATTTGTTGTTTGTTGTACAAACTGGGCAATTCTATTTCTAAGACATTACATGAAAAAGAAGGTCTTTGGGGGGTCATATTTACTGTAATTTAAATTATTTGTATCCTGACTTGTTTATTGTAATATCTTAAGAGAAAAAGTAGAAAGGTAGGCTGCTCCCTTCTTAAAGAATTTCCCTATTCATTCTATATTGCTAGTTATAGCTTTGGGTCAGAAAATGATACCTAAATAGGCAATTGAAAAGGGAAGATAGTGGCAGCTTACTTAGAAAATAAATTAGTGAACTCCTCAGAAAGATTTGCTCTTATAAGGCAGAAATTATCGGTAAATAGCCACATGTATGCAGAAGAGAAAATGAAGAGTGAGACTTCTACATCCTAACTGCTGAGCAGGCAGAGATCTAAGGACTGAGGTTTGAAGCCAGCATGGTCAGAAAAGTCCCCATGAGATTCTTTCCTCCAATTAACCACTCAAAAACTGGAAGTAACACTGTAGCTCAAAGTGGTAGAACATTAGCCTTGAACAGAAGAGCTAAGGGACAGCACCCAGCCCTGAGTTTAAGCCCTATGACTGGAAAAAAAAAATCATTGTGGCCAGGCACCAGTGGCTTGTGACTGTAATCCTAGCTACTTAGGAGGCTGAGTTGAGGATTGTGTTTGAAGCAAGCCCCAGCAGCAAAGTCCATTAGACTCTTACCTTTAATTAAGCACATAGCCGCCCCCCCCCCCCCCCCGCCCCCAGTCAGAAATGGAGCTGTGGCTCAAGTGGTAGCCTTGCAGGGTATGGGGGTGGGAAATTCAGGCCCTGAGTTCAAGTCTCAGAACCAGCACCAAAAAAAAAAAAAAAAACAACCATGTGATAATCTTAGAAAGTCTTGCAAAAACAGTTTGTTTTTCAAGGTGGTAATAAACCAAGGAAAGAACAAGGAAGAAGGGAAAACTTAAGTGAAAGATTCCTTTTTCAGTAAAAGGTTTAGGACCAGTCTCTCGGAATTCACAGAATGGGACCATTTAGGACAGAAAGAATAGAAAACAAAAGCTCTGATGAGGGAGCCATAAACTCACTGATAAGAAACTGGAACAAAGAGACACATTAATGAGGAAGACATAACAAATAGTTGCCTCTTTGAGTGTCTCAGAATGCAATGTTTTCAACTGTTTCCCTAAAAACTTCTCTTTAAGAAGAGAATATAATACTTCCTTCTGGCTGTAATTAGACTAGGATTCCTGAACATAATTGGAAGTTGGTTAGAAATTGAGTTTTCCCTTAAGCTTTAGCTTTATCTCTAATATATTTGCAATAAATGTTTACTTACTATCTCATCTTTTTATCTCAGATTATGTTACTCTGTGTTAAAAAGAAATAAAAAGTTGGTTACCAGTGGCTCATGCCTGTAATTCTGGCTACTTAGGTGGCTGAGACCTGAGGATTGTAGTACAAAGCCATCCAGCACAGTTGAAAGCCCGTGAGACTCTTATCTCCAATTAGCTGCCAAAAAAAGCTGAAAGTATAGATCTGACTCAATTGGTAGAGTGTTAGTTTTGAGAAAAAATGCTTAGGGACGGTTGCCCAAACCCTAAGTTCAAGCCAGAGAGAGAGGGGGTGGAGAGGAGGAGAAGGGGAGGGGGAGAGGGAGAGGGAGGAAGAGAGGAGACACATGTTAACTTTATTTCAGGGGGCAATAGATATGACAAGCACAGAGAACACAGTAACAGGGTGTTGCAGTAGAGGAGAGGGATTGTATTCTTCCCCAAATCTAAGAATGACACAGATTTTTAGCCAAGGAGCAGATCAGTGGATGGAAAATTGCTAAGAGGAAACATCAAGGATGAAGGGTTTCTGATTTGATAGGACTATTGCTGAAGGCAGGTGTTAGGTTTTTAAAAAGAGGTAGCCGAGTAAGAACTGCAGCAGCACGCACGTGGTATTCAGGTAAGGGGTAGGTTTATTCAGTAGACCTGCTGGGACCAGGCGAGGTTGGCACTCCACGTGGCTGGGAAAGAGAGAGGAAAGAGCTAGAGCAGAGAGAGAACAGAGAGAGCTAGAAAAGAAGAGCAAGAGCAAGAAACGAACAGAGAGAGAAAGAGCAAGAGAGCTAGAAGAGCAAGAGCAAGAGAGCTAGAAAAGAAGAGCAAAAGCAAGAGCTAGAAAAGAAGAGCAAGAGAGCTAGAAGAGCAAGAGCTAGAAACGAACAGAGAGAGAAAAAGAGAGAGTCTGGGCCTGGGCTAGGCCTTATGTAGGGTATGGGCGGGGAAAGGTGTGGCCACATCAAATTCAGATGTGACCTCAGCGGATGCAGATGTGACCTCTTCCAGGTGTCCCAGTTGCCTAGGTAACACAGGTACTGGGTGGAGACTTTGCTGCGAGGAGGGTGGAGTCTGCTAGCCATCCAGGAGCGGACCTTACAGCAGGTTATGGAGACAAGATTTCTGTGTATATTGTTAGGTTTTTAAAAAGAGGTAGCCGAGTAAGAACAGCACCACGCATGTGGTATTCAGGTAAGGGGTAGGTTTATTCATCATTCTGGCTGGCACCAGGCCATGTTGGCACTCCATGAGGCTGGGAAAAGCCTGGGAAAGAGCGCGGAAAGATGGCTGGGAAAGAGAGCTGGGAAAAAGAGAGAGCTGGGAAAGAGAGCTTCTGGGCCTGGGCTAGGCCTTTTCTAGGGTATGGGCGGAGAAAGATGTAGCCACATCAAATTCAGATGTGACCTCAGCGGATGCAGATGTGACCTCTTCCAGTTGTGCCAGTTGCATAGGTAATGCAGGTACTGGGTGGAGACTTTGCTGCGAAGAGGGTGGAGTCTACTCACCATCCAGGGGCGGGATCTTACATGCATGTGTAGAAATTTGTTATGCAAGGAGTTAGACTGCACCCCAAAAATAGTCAGTGTGAAGAACAGTAGGTCTTCATACTGACTGATTTATAAGTTTATAGCATAAATTTCTACACGGCATGTCTTTGCCAATATAGCTTATCTCCCAAAGAAATTGAGCCAAACTTCATGCATGCCAGAATATGTGGCTACTGTAGGGCTAGGCTGTTAATTTCAGATCTGCAATATGTATTAACAAGCTAAGTTAACTGTTAGCTGCTGCTGAGACCGGTCTCATGACTAAATGGTTTATATCTCCATCCTACTTTGATTGACAACTTGTGCCTTACTCTTCTGTCGATAATACCCTTTTCCTGTTTCCTTCTAGCACTCCAGTTCTCGCCTGAATTACCAAAGCAGCGTTCAGGGATCCTCTCAGTCCCAGAGTGCACTAGGCTACTCCTCTTCATCTCAACAGAGTGCACAGTACCACCCATCACACCAGGCCCACCGGTACTGATCAGCCACCTCTACCTGGCCCAGGCCAGAGCACAGACTTCAGCAATAGGAGGTTTGCATTGCAAAGAACCCCCAAATGCAAACTATGATGCCATTCAGAACTCACACACTCAGGAGAAAAACTTTCCACACTGAGTGTTTTGCAGAACTCCTATCTCTTCTTTATTGACTTAAAGAAGATTCTTGTGAAGTTTCCCCTACCCCTTGCCCCTTACCCTGCATGAGTTCCGTGTGACTTCTCTGATAAAGTGTCTAATCCCAGCACTTCTGTAACCCTCAGCATTTTTTGAAGGATTTCCAGGTGCACCTTTCTCATGCTGTAGCAATCATTATGATTTACTTTTTCAAAGCTCTTTTAATAAGGATTTTAATGTTTTAGAAACAGGATTCCAGTGGTGTGTATAGTTTTATACTTTGTGAACTGATATAGCAACACAGGTAAAAATGGACCTTTTAAACACTACAATTTTCTCAGACTACAAATATTGCTCATGGAAGTCTTAAACTGAAACTTACTGTCCCAAAGTACTTTGCTATTATGTTTTTATTTATCTAGTTTCAGGGAAGTTCTAGTAAAAAGACAACTGGTGGGACAGAAAGAACCTACACCAAAAAAAAACAAAACAAAACAGTCTAGATCTTTGCAGTTACTATGCTTTATGCTATAAATAACTGAAGTATGTGGTGATTTTTATATAATTATTCATATGGAACTTAGTTCCTTAGAATCATTGTTTTCTGAGTAGTATTCAGTAATTAAAAATAGAGTTTTAACCTTCATGTAGCTAAGTCTACCTTAAAAAGGGTTTCAAGAGCTTTGATGGAATACAGTCCTATGGTGATCCACACCAGAAAGCTGAAGAGAATATTAACTGCACTAATAAATTTAAGGAGTAATGTTGATCAAGGATGTGTTACTTCTCCTTGAAAAGGCTCTCTTAAGGAGCTGTTTCTTCACATGTGGATCTGCATGAGTAACTTTCTTACATAATCATGGGTACTCAAGTAGAAGCCTGCAAATTCGTCTGCTTTTAAAATAAAGGAACAGTGTTTTCTATTTGTATTGGCAATAGATATAGGAAGAGTGACTATTTTTAAAGCATGTTGAAAATTTAGGTTTTATTCATGTTTAAAGTATGTATGATGTATATATAATTTTGCTGTTGTTACTGAATCTTAATTCTACCAAGAATCTTTTCATTGCACTGAATGCTTTCTTTTGCCCCTAGGAGAAAACTTAATACTTGTGCCTGAAAACTATGGTGTAAGACTATACAAGATAGGGTGAATATTTGCATTTGTGTAATCTATGAATTACAGACTGAGTTCTTTCTTAGCCATTTTAAAGAGCCCCTGAATCCCCAGACTCAAAAAGAAATGTTAAGATGTATAGAGCTCCCATTTTAGTATAAGGGGCAAAAAAAATTGTGTTCTTCTGAATGCTACTAGCAGCACCAGCCTTGTTTAAATGTTTTCTTGAGCTAGAAGAAATAACTGATTGTTGTATATGCAAACTATATGCATTTTTAAGCTATTCTTTGTGAACTTATCTACCTGGTTATGATACTCTGGGTCCATGTACAAGTAAAATAAGATTTTTAGAAGCCAGAATACATTTTGCACTATTGATGTGATACTGTAGTCAGCCAGGACCTTACTGATCTCAGCAGAATAATGCTTATAAATAGTAATAAAGGCTGTAAAGTGACACTCATCAAGACTGAGATGAAACAATTGACATGCTCCATTGGAAGGAATTTGTGATTGTCTACATAGTATTTCATCCCTTCCATTTTTTTAAACAAGAAGTTGACAGCCTCCTGCATAATGTAGCTACCTATATAAAGCTCTTTCCAGAGCTGCTGTTCATCGGCTGCTCACTGCACACTTAACACATGCCAAGTTCTCCAGTGGGTGAGAAACATATGGAGCAATGCAAACTTGCTGTCCTTAAGAGCTTGTGATCGATTGAGTGACAGTAAGCTGTCCTGAGATATCTATGCCATGTGATAGACTTGTAAGTGAAACCATTGTATAATATGAAGGTTTTTTTAACTTCTAAATATACTTGGATAGTTATTCTTTCAACTTTTATATAGACAGTGTTATGGAAGGGCTTCTCTCTGTCCACCTTAGGAGAAAGCCAGTGATTAAATATCACAAAGGCATTCATATATATTTGAAATGTTCACAGGAGCCTTCAATAACTGAGTGATCCTCATAGGCAGAACTTGCTCTACTAAGTAGTTGTAGTAAATTACAATGAAAACAGAAATTCTGTTCCTGCCCTCAAAGGAGCTTAGATTTAATTTTTAAAAAGACATCCACAAATGTGGACACAACCCAAAATACCATGCCCCTTAATAATTTATAAGCAACTTTGAAATACTGTTCTTAATAGTGCTTATACACTCACAGGACTACCCTGCTTTTCTTGTACATACATATTTCACTGGTAGAACTGACATAGACTTAAGGGGATTCTTGTCAGTTGCTTCCGGTATACAGTGTTTTCTAGGACATAGCCAGAAATCCCCATTACGTGTACGACTGGGTTTCTTATCACTGCACTGGTTCTGGCCCCTTTCTCCTCTTCTTGCCTCAGGGTTGGTGATGCCCAGTTGTGCCCATCACCCTTTGATGTAATTTTGGTTTGTAATTTCCTTTGTCTATAAAGGGAGCAAAGCCTTTCTCACACACAAGGGCCCTAGACCATGGGACCTCTTAAGGAGACCTGTGAAGCTTTCAGATGGTAAAATTTGTCCTTGTGATCCCCAAATCACTGCATTTCTGGTTTGAAAGCTTATTACTGTTACGTCTATTGAGCGTGTATGAAGACCTCCCATAGCATGCCGGAATACCCAGAACAAGGAGGTATTGTAGGAATGAATCAGTTGAAGGTTTTCTACTCTTCACATAACAGATCAGTTTAAGAATTAGCTTTCTGGTGAGGTGGGTGTTTGGGAAAAAGAATCTAAATTTCAGGACAGACTAGTCTAAGGTAGCTTGGTAGCAAGGCTGATACTATGCGGCTGAAGCAATCCTGGTAATAAAGTAGATCAGGCAGTGAGATGCAAAAACCAAGGCCATGTATATTTTTATATCTCTGTGGTTTTGAAACTTTAGTATTTGGAATTTTGGCCTTCTGCACTACTTTTTTGCTCTTACAAAAATAATTTACTCTCAAGAATGGGAAGGAATGACATTTATGTATGCGTGCACTGCCTCATTCCTATTGAAGCAATTGCCTCTAAAATGATGCTGTTTTCTCCACTGAAGGTAGACAGAAAGAAAAAGTTTTGGATATAAGACTTGCAGCTTGATTTGCTTTTAAGTACATTTATGTAGCAGAAATTATACAATGAAGGGATAATTCTATGAAAATTGCAAGTCTTAAACTCCATAGTAATGTCTTCCTAGGAAATAAATAGAGACAGTAAAAAGGCCACTAGATGAACAGAGGCTTGAAGGGGTCACGTACAAGTCATATTTTATACAAAACATAGTGGTTTAGGTCCCTATATCTTCAAGAATAGTCACAAGTATCAGAGCAAAGATCATTGTTTTAGGATTTTTAAAAAATGTGTTGTACTTAAGGCCATACTTACTCTTCTATCACTGCAAGGGAAGTGATATGTATGTATTATATGAAAAAAATACTTAATGCACTGTTATCTCCTAAATATTTAGTAAATTAATACTATTTAATTTTTTTTAAAAATTTGTCTGTGTAGACACTAAAAGTATTACACAAAATCTGGACTGAGATAGTCCTTTTTAACAACAATGGAAAGTACTTTTATATATGTTACGTAGACTATCCTTTCTAAACTGCCTAGTTTGTATTTCTGATAATGCCTCTTTGTGAAGTGTACCTGTTCTTGTCTATTTTTTAGTCATTTTCTGCACGCAGTCCTCTTTGTATGATTAGAGATATGACTGTAGCTTTCCACACTCCGCTGCAATTTGTGTGCTTGGAGCTGCCTGCACCCCAGCAGGTCCCGCTCTGGTGGGCTGCAGGTCGTGCTGTCACTTCAGAGTGTTTTTGCTTTTGAGTTGTCCTAACATCCTTCTTGAAATGACTGTTAAAGCTAAGATAAATTACATTGCATTTATTTTATATTCTTTGTTGAAATAAAATCTAATTGACTTTGCTTATGTATGGATTTTGTTAAGTGTAGACAACTGTTTGTAGTAAGCTTTATTGTTAAATTTTTATCTGCATGCCTAGAAGTGTCTATTGTTACATTGATCTTGCAGAGATAATCTCCCTGTGAATTTTAGTATGTTATTTTGTTTCAGGATAATATGATGCCACAAAACCAAAGAAGCAAGCAAGACTTGCAAATAACTCAGAAGTAAAATTACAATTTTCTAAGTACTCCAAGGGAAGCATCTCTTTTAGATTAATGAAAATTAGAACGATGTTTTTTAAAACAAACATTTTGAGGATGGGTTTGGTTCAGAGATTCTCTTTCCATAAGAGCACGCTGTTGGACCTACACCTGTGCCCTCTACCTGATAAAGCCTCAGTGGTACCTCTACAGAGCTTTTACTTCAGTAGCCAAAGACATAACGGAGTGAATTGAAGTGTGTAACAGAAATATAAAACTTATACTTGTATTTAAAATAGATACTGCACATGTCCAACTTGGCTGCTTCGCTTTTGGCATGGATTGTGTATTCAGTCCTGTGCTATTTGTAGGCGAGATCTTCTCTTGGAAAACTGTTCTTTGGCCTCATTTGCCCTTCTAAAAGCCATCTGAGTAAGAGAAAGTGGATGAGTGGACAAACCCCTTACCATTACCATGAAACAACTGGGAAGTATGTATGTCCCTAGTAGACTCAGTTCTTTGGAAGACTGGATCTGGGTTGGGTTTTTTTTTGTTCTTTTTTTTTTTTTTTTCTGTACTTTCAGCAGCTGACATGATGCAGTGCAGAGCAGATGCTGAATATGGCAAATCATTAGCATCAATTTTGTACACTTGCATAGAGTTCCAGGATCACATAGTGTGCTGTATTTTGTATATGGACAGGGATGAAAATACTTTTATTTTTGTTGGTTGTGGGACTTGAACTCTGGGCCTGGGCGCTTGTCCCTGAGCTCTTCAGTTCAAGGCTAGCACTCTACCACTTGAGCCACAGTACCACTTCTGGTTTTCTGAGTGGTTTATTGGAGATAAGAGTCACGGTCTTTCCTGCCCAGGCTGGCTTTGAATCGCAATCCTCAGACCTCAGCCTCCTGAGTATCTAGGATTACAGGCGTGAGCCACTGGTGCCCAGCCAGAATGAACATACTTTAATGAATAATGAAAATGCTAGAAAAAGCTATCTCTCCCTCCCTTCCCTCCCTCCCTTTTTCTCTCCCTCCCTTCTTCCTCCATTCTTGTGCTGATACTGGGGGTTGAACTCAGAGCTTGGACACTGTCCCTTGGCTTTTTTGCTCAAGGCTGGCACTCTTATCACCTGATCCATACAGTTCCATTTACATCATTTTGGTAATTAGTTGGAGATAAGAGTCTCATGGAGCCGGGTGCCGGTGGCTCTTGCCTATAATCCTAGCTGCGCAGAAGGCTGAGATCTGAGGACCATCGTTCAAAGCCAGCCCAGGCAGGAAAGTCTGTGAGACTCCAATTAACCACCAGAAAACCAGAAGTGGTGCTGTAGCTCAAGTGGTAGAGCACTAGTCTTGAGCTGAAGAGTTTAGGGACAGTGCCCAGGCCCAGAGTTCAAGCCCCATGACCGACCAATAAAAAAAAAAAAAGAAAGAGTCTCTAACTTTCCTCCTAGGCTGGATTCCAAATGTGATTCTCAGATCTCAACCATTCCTGGGGCTTGAACTCAGGGTGTAGGCCCTGTCCCTGAGCTTCTTTTGCTCAAGGCTAGCACTTAACACTTGAGCCACAGTGCCACTCGGGCTTTTTCTGTGTTGTGGTACTGAGGAATCAAACCCAGGGCTTCATGCATGCTAGGCAAGCATTCTACCACTGAGCCACCTTCCCAGCCCAGCATCACTTGTTTATGCACTTATTTTTTTATACTTTTGGCTGCAAAGTTATAATAAAGCACCACTTCAAAGGGACAAACAATTCAAATTATGTTTGAATAAAAAACACCAGTAGTATGTTTGTCAATCTTCTCAAGAAGCCATTTTTCTTGTGGCTGCCTAGAAGCAGACATTTTAAAACCTTGTATAGTTTCATTTTATGTAATAGGCTGGGGAAAACTGGCTTGTCCAAGTAATACAAACCTTATGGGAAATTTGTGCATTTTATCTAGAGAATAAAACATAGAGGAAAGACATTAAAATGTTGACTGAAAATATCAAAGTGCTTCTATTGAGTGCTTTTCCCCGAAGTGTTGCTATTTTTTTTTTTCACATAGAGATACTACTACAGACTGAACATGTTTCTCTCAGATTCACTGACCATTTGACTATATTTAGAGGCAGGGCCTTTATAGAAGTAATTAAGAGTAAATGAAGTTATAAGAACAGGGCCTTCATCCAGTAGAAGTGGGTCTATAAGTACCAGGAAGCTTACTCCCTTTTCTTTCTCTCTCTGAGGGCAAAAAAACAGACACCTGCAAGATGGGAGGAGAACCTTCATCAGAAACCCAACATGCCAGACCTTTACCTTGGAGTTCCCGCCTCTAGAACTGTGAGAAAATACATTTCTAGGTGTCCATACCAACCCAGTCTATTTTAAATCTAGCAAAACTAGTCATTCTTACTTGATGGTTGACTCCCTTCCTTCTTTGGAGATAAAAGTTGCAGGTTAGTCTAGGTCCAGACTCCTGGGATTCTCTATGTTGGGTCTGATCCCTTCCCTGTATGCCAAATAAAGAGAAAATTATGGTCAAGGGCAGAGAAATACCTATTGCTTAGTATGGGCAACCATGCCAAGAGGAAAAATAAGCACTTCAGCCTTCCTCAAGATATAAAAGTAAGTTAAAATAGAACTAGTTTAACTAGAACTAAGGTTTAAAAAGAACTAAGGCTTAGGGGAGGCAAAAGGTATGATAGGTAAACAGTCTCGCACAGCTGTGGCCTGGTTGATTACATCTCAATTCTTCTAGGATCCAGAGAACTGGCTATCCCTGTCATCACTTGAAGCTAGCGTCTGGTTTCCATAGATGATTACTCTTACTCCAGGCTGTAGCCTCATCATTATAGGTAATGGTCTTCATTTGGGAGGTGGCCTGTCTTACAAGACTACTTTTCCTTAGGAGTAGTTTTTGTTCTTTGTCATAAAGATGTTATCAGTCCTATCTTTCCTGGATTCCACGGTGACTGCAACGTGAAAAGCTTAGAACCAAGATAGATAGGAAGTGGAAGCTGGAGTGACAAGCTTTTCTCCTGTTTTGTTTTGTTTTTTTTTTTAATTTGTGGACCCAAGAAAGTAGTCCCTGCTTATAAGCAAAAGCAGCCTTTTAAGCACCTGTTGCAGAAAGATAGTCTTTACTTTCCTGTTGTTTTTTTTTTTCACTTTTTGTGCCAGTCCTGATGCTTGAGTTCAGTGATTTAAGTGGTAGAGTGCTAGCCCTGAGCTTTTTTTTGCTTAAAGCTAGAACTCTACCGTTTGAACCACTTCTCCACTATGGCTTTTGGTGGTTAATTGAAGATAGAAGTCTCAAGTACATTCCTGTCTGGGCTGGCTTTGAACTGCAATCCTCAGCTCTCAGCCTCCTGAGTAGCTAAGATTACAGGCATTTCCTACTATCACCTAACTTATCGAACTTTTAGCCTTGTATCTCCACATACTAAATCATGTTTGTTGCCAGAAAACAATGCAGACATCCAGGTACAGAGAACAAAGAAAGGTTTATTTATACTAAATCATGTCTGTTAGATTATTGACTTTGCCAGAAAACAATGCAAACATCCAGGTACAGAGAACAAAGAAAGGTTTATTGCCAGGAAAGGGGCTGGCAAGACCCATTCTCACAAGGGAGAAATGAGAAGTGCTGGCTATTATCTGAGGTGATCTATATAACCTAGGAGGTCTAGGAAGGGCTAGAAGGGGCTAGGAGGTAGAGATCCTGGTGTGGATATGAGGGACAGGGACTTCATCGTGGTGGAAAAGGATTTATGGCTACTGTCCAAATAGTAGATAAGGGGCCCTGCAGCTGCCCGGATCTAAAGGTCATTCTAAGAGGCTCTTGTTTGACGTCCTTATACGGTGGTAGCTTCCCCAGAGAAGGGTATTGGCAGCTGATTATTTACTGGTTGATTATTTACTGCCTTTACTACATAGGCTTAGCATTTGCCTAAGAAGGGAGCATGCTAAGCTATGGAGAGGGGAAGGAGCATATCAAGCTATGGGAAGGGAGCTCTTTGGACTAACCTGGTCCCTGTTAAAGCCAGGGACTGGTTTTGTTATTTTGAATATCCACAGGGCTTTGTATATATGATAAATCTTCAGTTTTTCAATTTTGATAAAATTAAGATTGGGTAGATGGCAAAACTTCCTAAGTTGAAAATTTATGGCTGGCTACTGACCTAAGCAAGATCATTGTTGAAAACCATTGTCCATTATGTGGAGTTTGAGGTGGCTTATGTACCTTGTGGCTTTGGATAATACAGTTTCTTTGGTTTTTCTTGTCCCTGTGGAAAAACCAGATAATAGAAAGGCCACACATCTGTAACTCAGTTCAGCCAGCAGAATTAACTTGTTTGCAGACTAAAGAACAAAAACAATGCATCTAGAATCCACATAGACTTTTTTTTTTAATGCCATCTTGTTTCAGCAAACAAGTTAGTCTCTAGCCCATGGAACTAGCATGGAACTACCATGGGGAAATAAATGAGTCCTGCAGCATTTTGTTTTATTAGTTTATTTAATTACTTCTGTAACATTTTTAGTTATTTTATTATTATTTTTTATGCTGGTGCCAGGGCTCGGACTCAGCCTGGGTGCTGTCTTTAGCTTTTTGGCTCAAGGCTGCCACCTGAATCTTCCTTTGCCATTGAACCTAACATATCCATAGGTTCTGGGATTAAGGTAAAAATATTGTTATGTTTGGGGGCCTTACTTGTCCTACCACAAAAAGGTTCTACTCATTAAATGTATGTGTGAATATATACCAAATACACAACAGGATAATAATTTGGGGACAACTCAAATTTTTTCAGTCATTTTCCTCAATCTATAGA